ATCTCTTATTGTATTTTGTTATACATTCCTTTATTCTGGAGTCTTATGAATATTCTTTGTTTTCTTTTGTTTTTCTTTGTGGTATTTTTTCTCCCATTTATTTATCTCCCTTACTTTATTTTTCCCTCCTCGGATGCTGCTATTTGTTGGACTCTGCATCCAAAGGTCCTGTCTTTGTAGGTCAAATGACGATTGTAGCGACGTGCTTTCCGCCAGTCATCTCTATAAATCGATAAATTGATACTCACATCAGTTAATTCTGTATTGTCGGCACACCCAGAAGAGTCTACCGACGCTATATGTGGACAGAATAACACATGCCCAGCTCCGTCAATTTCTCTCGTTTCTTCATTTATCTGTAAAAGTTTCAATTTAATTTCCGTCCGTGACGTTCCGGTCAAGCCTCTCTCACATACTAATTATTGTTGGCTTCCTCCTCGGGTCAGTTGTCCTTCACCAATGCCTCTCACCCATTTCTCGTCCCCCTGACATTACTCTAAACTCGACGAGAGGTGTGCTAGTAGCCAAAACAACATACCTCTCGTCGCCCTTTTCCCCTTAGGCGTTTTCGTTTTTACGCGTATTTAGTCGGAGGGTGCGCGGAGGCGAAGTCCCGCATTACCATTTCCCGTCAGTAGTGTTATGTCTCTTGCGTCGTCTTAGCGACGAGCCTAGAGACAGACGAAATGTGTGTGTGGTGTGTGTGTGTGGTCGTGAGTGTGTGCGTGTATGGTGGGTGTGTGTGTGTGATGTGTGCGGGCGGTGTCGTGTGGTGTGTGTGTGTCCAGGTGTGTCGTGTGTTGTGTGTGTTTAGCCCGACTGGGGCGCCTAGCTGGTGGTGTGTGTGTGTGTCTACTCCCTATCCCCGTCCGTCGATTTCAAGTGGCCTCGACGGGGTAAGAAGCTCTTTGTTTACATGAAAAAAAAAGACGCTGAGGGGTTCCAAATTCTGATTTCGACGTCTGAAAAAGATTACTCGCCTAGCTGTTAGTTCCCGTCTCCACATTCATTGATTCATATGAAGAGTGATGTAAATCTCCATGAACACTGATGAACTCTAGTACATCGATGACCACATGAAGAGAGGTGACGTACATAAATTGGAACTAATGGCAGGCACACCTACTCTACACTTTCAATTATTCAGCAATTTAGTCTGAATCAAGGTGGACCTCTTTAGGTTTCGGCGACGTCATTGTTTCAGATATCCGCGAGTGCTGGCCTCTCTCAAGGGTCTCTAGATATCGCCAGTTGTTTTTTGCTCTATGCAGTACTCTTGGCAAATGGGAAAGGCAGGGACGATCTCTCTCGCATGAAACGTACCCTCTTTTTCCAGGTAAAAGACTAACGACCCGCCGACGTTGGTGGGGCATTTTGGGGTTGAAAACCTTGGCGGTACAAATCAACGAGCGTAGTCTTATGGTATCTAATCGGTGCTGGTTGCGTCTCTCTGATTGAGATACCCGTGTGTTCTTTTGTACCTCGCACCTCTCACTCCTCACGCGGGCAAACGGCAATGATCCTCGAGTCAATTCTTCCGCGACCCTCAGGGTCGTCGCCCCCTCTATGGCGGCTTCACCGACACGGACGTCATTTAGGTTTCGTCTTCTTTTCCCTTCCTTTTTTCACTGCGTCGCCGGAACTAAAACGGTTAGGAGGAGTCCTGAATACTTCGTTAGCGAGAATCAAGTGTCTTGACGACTCAGACTACTTGATTCATCCGTTTCATGAACCACACTTTGGGATAATTCAGAATCCTAGGTTGCTGACACCGATACAAAAGTGTCCTCCGCCTGTCGTCTCTCTAGCGACTGTGTTCTCAATAGTCTTCTATTTGCGTACTGTACAAGTACTTACGACTACAAAACCTGAAACACACGACGTAGCGCAACTAGGTAGAAGCCGAGGACATAAGTACAAATATATAAACAGCGAATAGCTCTCTCGAATAGTTGCTGGAACCCAAGAAAGTTTGCCGGATCAAACACAGAAGTTACAAATCGATTTCAACGAACTCAAACCCAGTTGACCCTATCTACATGAACACAAATTTCTATTCTGTCACGAAGGACTAACAGACAACCACCTGTCTATTGTAGCAGCAGTTCACGGAAGCCGTCTTGTTCCGAATTACATTTTCAGTCTATAGTCGTATCATTAATCGACCTGATGCGTTGCGTCGTAGTCGGGACTT